GTTTGATAACATTAATATTTACAGAAATACTCGAACAATTAGTCACATTAATTTCTTCCAGCCTCTTGATCACTGCTGCGCCACCGTTACAAATGCTATCAATATTTGCAACAATGGATTGCCGCTTGTGGAAGTGAACACATAGATGATGAAAAAGTTTGTTGGTTTTTGTTTTGTTTCGAGTCTTCAATATATAATTCTGCAACGGTGAATACTTTCCATCCTCTATGTCTTGTGATTGTTTTAAGATTTGCACACGCGAAGAAAAGCGCATACAGTGTCCAGTGTTAAGGAGTCCTGCAGTTTAAACAAATTAGAGATGCATTTCATCAAAAGTGTTGAGTCCGACTAGGTTTTTGGTACATTTCTTAGAGTGTTTAACGAAGAGCCAACCATATTGGACGCTTTCGGACGACGAGCCGTGTACGTTTTGTAATATTGCGCGCAACGATATCTAAATACGGTAAAACTTGTTGGAACTTTTGGTTAGATTGCTCCAGTGTCTCCTATGTCTACTGTTAATTCACAAAGCTCCTCCTTTCTTCAGGCTCAAAATATTATAACCCACTCCTTGTCGTTTCAAAAAGCAATTAGTTCAAAAAATGTTCTAGTATCCTCATTGATCTTGATAAGTACCAAGTAACATGTAAAGTTGCTTTTATCATAGAGCAATGAGACCAAAAAGACGGGAGTTTCCAGACCTGGGAACGTTCCTCAAAATGGGCAATTAAAACATTGTCTGTATAGTACATACTTTCCTGACTGTGTTTCAATTCCAAATCAAAATCAATTCCTGGGCTTCAGTCATTTATTGTCTATTTATCAATTAAAATACGTTTCGGTGTTTTTCACCATCATCAGTTTCTATGTGTAGCGTTGTTGCTACTTTAAGCCTTGGCATATATTTTCATATATTTTCATATATTTTCATATATGCCAAGGCTTAAAGTAGCAACAACGCAACACATAGAAACTGATGATGGTAGAAAACACCGAAACGTATTTTAATTGATAAATAGACAATAAATGACTGAAGCCCAGGAATTGATTTTGATTGTCTGTATAGTTTCCACAAGCGTATTTTATTTCCCACCACTGCAAAACCTTTTTATATGCTTTTTGTACTGCGCCCGGGACTTCTTGGGCAGTAGGTCCAACGTGACCCTTGCAATCAATTTGTTCCATTACACTTTTGTAGTAAAATAACAAATTTTAAATTTAATTCCTGCAAAAGACGAATACACACGGAAATATTATGACTAGTCCTGATTAAAAAGCACTAAATTCATCGAAAAAAGTGCTTAAAAAGTAAGCTGATTTATCACAAAAATATACGCATAATAATATATAAAAAAATAATATGAAAAAAAGCATTAAAAATGCACAACATTCTTTCAGTGGGATAAAAACATAGTTTTTTGAAATGTTTTAAATTTAATTTAATGTAATGAAATAAACAAGTTTCTTTAATAGGTTTATTTTATTTGCTTTAAAAAACTTGAACAGCTTTTGCCTGAAACTAAAATTTATTCTAAATAAAACCCAGAAAAAAATAAGTGAAATTACAATTATTTCAACCACGAAATTACTAAATATTCATTTAAGTAAATGTTCCACTATAAAATTTTTCCGACTCACTCACTTAAAATATTTTTATACGTTGAAAAACTTCTCTCCACGTCTACACTTGTTATAGGTGTATATCTAAATTTTGATACCATTGCCAGATCCGTAATTGGGTTTTGTAAAATTACTAAATTTAAAAGCAAAAATCTATCTTTCAACTTATAAAATTCGATGAAAGATTTTATGGTTTCACTTACCAACTTTAAATTACTTTTAATAAAAGCAAGATTATTGGTCAGTTACCAGTTTTGTATAACGGCATGACAATATTTTATGGTTGTACTACAGTGTCTAAAAAGTCTAACACAAGGTTTTTGCAATCTTGATGTTCGGCGTCGTATAAAGCAGCCTTCAACCAAGTTTCCCAACGAGTTAGAACTGGCGCAGGTGATAATAGAATATTGAGCAATCTCTCTCTGAACAACTGCACAAAGGCGCTTTAATGAATAAACGCTTGCTATTTTTATTAAGTCATTGACAAGAGGACGTGGAAGCCAAAAGGTTTCTGCAACCCGATTAAGTCTGGCGCTAAACACGTGCAATGTATTAAGTTTGTATAGAAAACTTTAAGGTGGGATGGAGTTTTAACCATATAAGGCGCAGCATCGGAAATCATTAACAACACTTTCATATGGCGCAGGTTCAAGAAGGTAAAAGTTTGTTAAGGTGACATTTATAAATATAGAAACCGTCGTTGTTATTTGTTGCTTCCAGTTCTTTCGAACAAATTAAATAACTTTAATTGTGTCCGAACGTCCTCATTAAGCACGCCAATAATTAGATTAGTAACATATCTGCCTGCCACAAGCGTCTGCAGTTTCATCTACTGAAAACAAATGCTATATTTGCCTACTAGTTTCTTTATTTTCTGTATAGAATCTTTGAATACTGCGGTGACAATTATTTCGAAGCGTGCTTTCATCTGGTACATTTCGGTTGCAAATATACATATTTCCAAAAATATACCGCATGTCAGATTGTACTAATGCTTTGCATAAGTCGAAATTAAATTGTTGTACGTTATAGCCAGAACTTGACTGTAGAAATTCTGCTATTGCTTGTTGTTTAGGTATATTTTAAAACCTTTTCAGGGATTGTTGATTGTTGTTGAAGTTGCCCATACCTATTTATAGCTTATTTCACAATCACAATAAAGGAAGCTGTTAAGGATTTAGGGATCTTTACAAGTAACTAAATTCTTCAGGAGTACATTTTTCAGCTATACACGTACATAAGAATTCTAAAATGACAAGACCAAGACTTGTTTAATTAATAATATCTACACGAACACGTGCCTGTCGAAGTCACGGCCAATAAAGTCTGAATGAATGAAATCGTAAAATTTGCTCAAGAACTGCTCAGCATAACACTTTAAATTTATGTTTGGTTGTACCATAAACACGAGTAGCTTCACGGAATTCACTCTATACTACTTAATTTTAGTTAAGTAAAGGTACTTGAAGTGAACTCGTTCTTCATATCAGGCAGGTATTTGCTCGTATCAAAAATATTTTGCATAACATCTAAATAAAGACACTGCAATAGTGTGTCCTGTTCTGTGTATGTTCTCGAACACTGCCCGTTTTTCAAATTAACAATCTCAAACAGGAATAAGCTAAATTACATTTCACGATTTTAGCTCAAACTACTTATAGAGATCCATTAACATGATTTTAGAAATTATTTTTTAACTGCTTGGAAGTCGAGTGTTTATCCAGATGTTGAGGTGTTATGTTTAAAATTGAATGAAATGGACTCAAGGTTTCAGTGAGCAGCCTAGATTTTCAATTTTCATAGGTTTATGATAAATTATCATTTTAGAACGATAATCGTTTTTTAGACTTTTCAGAACTATTCTATTGTGTGCAAGATTTTTATGAAAAATTGTAGTAAACATTTTTGCTTAGTATACGAATGATTTTCCATATCAGTTCTGTCTAGGACGTTGCTGAATTGATAATATTTACATTTTTGTGCATAAGTTTGGTTTCGTTCTTGAACATATTGTGTGGGATTGTACAGGCGTTTAACAAATGATGTCATAAACCATAAAACTCTGAGTAACATAAGACATTCGTTTGTTTTGCGCTGCTGTAAACCGTCTTAAAATAGATTGCCAATACGAAAAGAGCTTTCACTAATATGAGTTTCGTTTTCAGGAAAAATTGGTATATGTTCTACATGCTATTTCCGTATAAACAAAACATGTGTTCCCGTTTTTAGGTCGCTTTTTCGATTCTTGAATGGTCTCAACAAATCATACGATTCTAACTCAGTATTAGAACTCAAATCCCAGTAAGTAATAGATACATTAATACCAATACGAAAATATATTTGCAACTTCACTTATTTACATTAGTAAATGTTATATGTCTGTTAAGTATAAAACTGTACCCTCTACAGAATGCCACTCAGAGAATAAACATAAATAATATAAAACTGGAAAAATAATAATCAAATAATTTTTTAGATTGAATTTTGTTTCGTCTGAGGGTTTTTTAAGTTTGAAAATCAGTGCACTTAGTTTTTTGGCGCGCTAAATTCAAAAATCGCAATGTTGTTATGGCTCATACACCTACGGGCAAAAGGTAATTCAACAATGGAATTTATTTTAGGTGTTATTTTTTAGCTCAAAACTGTTTCTTGCTAATTTAAAGATATGCATTTTAATGTAGAAATTTACATTTCATTCACTTGAATATCTGCAGCATTTTCGTTTTTATTTTTTCTTAAAAATGGGCCTCAGTTTTAGTAAAATATTTATTATCCGCATGCTTTTTATTTTCCACTCGAGCAATATTTTATTAAAAAAATTAACTAGCAAATCGTTTTATGTTCTGGGTTGTGCGCCTTTAATTATGGGCCACTCTGATATATTTTGCGAATTCCTGCGTTACACAAGACTCCTCTATGTAAACCTAAAAAACTGTTGAAAAAAAAGTTGACACGACCCCCCCCTAGATCGTTTATTTAAAAAAAAAAGTGAAAGTGACCAACAGAAAAGTTGTTTATTTTTGCTCAGAGATTTTTAAAATCTGAATTTAAAATAAAAATATAAAACACGAAAATGTCAAAAATTGTTCGAATATGAATTGATTTGAATAAATTTGTTGAAAAACGAAATATTTTTGAGTCACTTTGTTTCGCAGGCGACTCCGCATTTGTAGCAGATTATTGAAATTGTGAACTAAGAAATTAAAGTCACCGAGAAGTCTAGGCCACAAATTGAAAATATAAACCGTTGAAATAGAACGTCAAATTGAAGCTCATATGTATTTTAGGAAATAGAGAAGAATGGAAGGCGTTAGGTGAGGTCTAACAGTGAATTAATAAATAATAATAAATGAACAGATAAAAACTTTAAAATGTAAAGTTTTTTTTTGAAGCGATTGATCAAATTGAGGGGTATCTGGCAAAAACCGAAAGTAAAACTTTCAGGAAACAGAGAAGATCTTTTATTTTAAAACTGTTAGTTATACCAATGTCTTTGGTTTATAAATGGGTTCCTAGTGAATATTTACATTCACTTTTACCAAAGTAAAACCACATTTTTCACAAAAAGTGAACATATTTTGGACTTCTTGTCCTTGCCTGATCTGGAGTTTCTTGTGGTAATTTTAGGTAATTTGTTCAGACATAAAAAGTAATCAAGTTGTTAGCCAATTTTGTATTTATAAAAAAAAGTTCCATTATGACATACATGATGTGACATGATATAACAAATACATTAGTCGTCATCAGGACTTCTTATTCATCTCATCGCAGCCTTCCGTATTATCCTCTTCGTCGATTTCAATCTCAAGTCTGTCATCCGCAGTAGTTTTTCCACCATTATTTGTCCCCAAAAACTTTCGCTGTCCGGGTTTTACCAAAAATTCCATTAGATTCTTAAGGGCTTTTGCTTTCAGTGGATGCAGGCCTGGTTTTCATTCACATAGTTAGTTAAGAGAGTGTTTGAAGATTGATGAAGCTCTTCCCTCTTATGTTGTGATACGTCCATGCCCATTCGTATGATTATTTTATTTTTATACAGTGTTCCCATTTTTCAATCCCGATAAGTTTACTTTTATTGACTTTTAGAGGAAGTTTTTCAGGTTTTAAAAATGAAAGCTGGTGAACTGCATTTTTTCATATTTTTAAAGTTTGCATAGTGCTTGGGCTAAGACTAAGCTGCGGCTGAAAGGTATGATAGCATCTCCCCGAATTGTGAATATTACTAAGTTAACAATTTTGATTTATTTTATTGACTGCATGTAATTGTTATTATATTCTTATCTTTTCGGGGTCTCAGTCAACGTGTGAAGTAAAAAGAATATCGTTTATTTCATTACGTTTCGGCGAGACAACAGCGCCATCATTAGATTTAAAATTTTAAAATTTACACAAACTCATATTGGTAAACATTAATGCTTCCTCCTCAAAATTAAAATCTCTCCTCCTCACCTGAATGAATTTTGGTACAAGTTTCAAGTTTTTGCATCTAGTTAAAAAACATTTTCGGTTCTTCTCTCTCGCTAGCTTAGCCCTCAGCTTTACGTACTCCTTCATTATGATGCGTTCCATTCGTGCGAATGCTGGGAATTGATAGCATTGTTGGACAAAAATGCAGAAATAAACAATATTCAAAATTTTTAATTCACACTTTGCCTGAGACCCAGGAAAGTTAAGAATATAATAATAAGTTAATTATAATGTGAAATAAATTTGTATTGATCTTTGTTAAGGTACTCACCTTTTTAGAGCACAAATTGCCTCCAAGAATAGAATAAAATACTTTTTGCGAGAAAAATACAAACGTTGTTTGATGAAAACCTTAAAATGTAAATTTGTTTCTTGTAAACGCTAACCGTCTACGAACGTTTTTAATTGCGCTCGATTATTTTCGGACAAATATAATTTAATCATTTTAAACTCGTAACATTTTGCATGCGTTGTTGAGTACTCGCAAATCCACGACTTGTGTTTGTTATCTATTACTGTCGCAAAATCGAAGTTCAATTAAAATTGCAATTTCAGTTGCAATATTTTGAAATATTCACTAATTTGTGGTTTTGTTCTAACTTAGTTGAAGGGATGTTTTAACTGTCCAACATTGCAAATTTTTTGTTGATAACGCAGGGTCTTATGATTATTTTTTTGAAAAAGTGTTAACGTTTGTGCTTGCTTAAACTTCATTGATGTTCATCCACTTGGAGTCTGCAGTTCAACTGAAATTTCAAACAATCCAATTTGACAAAATAATTCTGTTCATTTAATTTTAATAAGAGTTTAATACTTTTCTGCCAAATGATTGATCCATTTTTGCATTGCCCTTGCCAATAACTAAATCGATTAGTTACTTTGTAAAACTCGTTTTTCCTTGCTTCCAAGAAAATTTTAAACTCTTAACAAAAGTAAGCAAAATTGAGGACATTGGAGCAGAGGATTTACTCGTTCAATTTTAAGTACGAGTAAGCAGTTATTTCCTGGAATTAATTTGCAATACCTTGTTTTCGTTGTTTATTATTGGCGCGAGTTGTTCCTTTAATAAAAGCAATATAAATCAAAGAAAAAAGGGCTAGAAAAACCCTTATTAGACGTGTATGTTATTACTTATTTTCAATAAATTTTAAGTTAATTGCAATGCAACACATTTTCTAAATGAAATGAACAAGAGCATTTTAAAAAATGAAGAAAAAAATTAAAAGATCTAGATCAAAATTTCTTAAACAGGTCCTTTGGCCTCCTTTGAGAGCTCACACTCTCCCATTATATCAACTGAAACCATAAATGTCCTGCTACTCTTGGTATCATAAAAATCCTGGACATAACTAAAACATGCAAGATATATTCTTTTATCTAAGAGTTCTGTCCACATTTTCCTGTATTTCATTTAAAACTCGAATATTATATTATATTTTATTCATTTCCTATTTAATATTTACTGCTACTTCTTCTTATTATAGGCATGAGCATGTTCTTCTACACACGCTTCACGTCTCAGTGAAGGTCTTTCCACCTCTTCGGCGGTCTGTCCTTCGGTCTTTTGGCTGCTGGCCTTCCATCCCGGGCTAATTCAATTAGTCTTTCGCCTTGGCTCTATCCACATGTTCGTTCCAGTACCAACCGCGATCTGTCCTCCATTTGACGATATCTTGGATCTCCCACCCCTCTCTGATGTATTTGCTCCTTACTTTGTCCCATAGAATCAGGCCCAGTATAGAGCTCATCGTCTTCGTTTCGGTTGATATTAATAGCTTATCTGTTTTTGTTGTGTCAGCAACGTAAGTGATAATAGATCTTTACCTTTGACTTCCGTGCTCATGCACGTGCTCCTCCAGTGCAATGCCTTTAAAATATTCTGATATCCTGGGTTCTCTGATTCAGATCTTGGTTCTTCAGTTGATTATACAGGTTGTTCAATCATCCTATTTGAGCTCAAGTTTGCAGCGAGTTGGTTCTTTTGAAATGGCAAGTAATTCCAATCGAATCGAATCGAAGTCTTCCGGAATTGGTGGATTAGTTTCTGTAGATTGCCTTCAGATTCAGTGACAAGGACGACGTTAACAGCGTAACAAACAATATTAAAATCTGTTTCTCCTAGATTACAGCCATAATGTTCCTAGGTTCTGATTCCATTAATGTGTGATATTAATTCATTCATGATCAAATTAAAGAGAACAGGACTTAAAATTATCTAAAGACAATCGCCCTGTATTACATCAGATCATGTTCTTATATGTAGGTTCGCTAAGACCGTTTGGTCATTTGTCATACCTTTGGTTTTGGTGTTCAAATTTATACGTCTAATTAGTGCTATAAGGTATATGGTGAAGCTTATTGTTCTTAGGATAGTTACATGATTATATATTCTAGACGCACACTGACAAAGCACGTAAATACGGAATTAAAATATTCCATGGATCTTTTCAATGACCTTGCGGACAATGAACAGAACACTGTTGATCAGTTTCTTCTGAATCTATCTTGTTTTTTCACTGGCTGCAACAAACTGTTCTAACTTATTCAATAAGATCTTTGTTAGGCATTTTAGACGTGCACAAAGTAAGATTATTCTTTTATAGCTGGTTATAGTTATATATCTATAGGTTATTAGCTGGGTCAATTTTCTTACTTCTCTTACTTGGGCTAATCTGGGATTGTGGCACTGGTCTTTCGTTTCCGCGTGATTTAACTCTTGTTCTTATTCCTCTTTATATAGGCGCGTCGCCTGTTTGGTTCCGGTTTCTTTGAAGCAGTTCTTGCGAGGTTGATTGTCAACTGTCTTGCCATCGTTTTGGTGATCTACAGGTTTTCCATGTGGTGTGTTGTTTCGTACTATCTTGGCTATTCTGTCGGGACTCATTCGGTTGACATGCTGGTTTCATTCTATTCTTCTCCTGATAAGGATGATACATCTGACCACGTCGTCGGTTTGGCATCTTTGTCTTATGTCTGTATTTCTTTGCTTATCGTTTAGTGTGTCCTGTTATTGCTCTTAGGGTCTTCACCTCAGTTGTTCCTAAGATCTTTTTTTTTGTTACTGAAGTTTCAGCTATTGTTTCCGCACCATATGTCATCACCGCCCGTACACATACTTTGTATGTTTTCGATTTTCAGGATTCGAGTCTGTCGGAGTATTATTTTTTCTCATTTTGTGAGCACTGGTTAATAGTACCATCTGTATTTAAGGAGTCAGAGTAAATAAATGATTCCCGAAACTTTTATATTTTTAAGAAACAGTACTGCTGATATTACTTCGGTCCATCGGATTCTAAGGTGTCCTCACCATCAAATTTAAACAGAAAAGTCAGCGTTGTACAAGTTCATGCTTCGTACTTAACAGTTTCCAATTTTTTTGCTGTGAGTCATCAGTAGCTTTGCATATTTTTGGTGAATTCCTTCCAATGATCCTCCTTGATCTCTCGAATTCTTTTGTTTGTTTCTTTCAGTAAAATATACCTCTCGATTTTCATTCTATCCGAAGCTCCTCCATTTCAGAAACACTTTTTTTTTCTGCAAGAATTTTGACTTTAGGGGTACACCAGGGTGCTTCCTGCAAGTGGTTCCTAATGCTTTTTATGCTGCTATTAGATGTTTTGATTCAATTTCTTCCATGTGTCATCTACACTGTCGTCTATGTTGTTGAGGTCATGATTTATTCATATAAATATTTAGTGCTTCCATGTTCTAGGGATTCAATATTAAATTTCATTACATACTTAACTATCGGTTTCTTTAATAATAAGTGATTTTCGAGATCACGAGTCAATGATCTCTCCTACGTATCTATATCTGGGGCCAGAAGTGACCGCAGGTCTAGTAGGTATTTGATTCGAACGGAAATCGCGATTTGCTATGATATAGTGAACTAACTTCTGACCTCT